ATGAACAACGTATGTTTGTTTAAGTATCTTAGATAGTTATAGATCAAGTATATTAGTGAAATTAGATCTAACTAAGTTGTTGGTCAAGCAACTATTATTATATATACAAGAATCACTTAAAGGCAGTTATCAAAAGAAACATTCAGCTCCAACACCATTAAGTGACCTTCACTGCACAACTTAATATTTATTCATGCCCTACTCTCATATTATGTATGATCATCGTAGTTCAAATCACATGGAAATATGTAAGAGTAAGTTAGAGTTTAAAGCATCAACATATATACACATACAACATAAAACATTAACAACTTCAATACATCATCACATCTTCATCTTGTCTCCAACATTATTAACATGCATTATCACAATACACCCAACATATATCACCATCAACAACTCAATCTACTATAGCACAATATCAACTCGAAGATCATAATATTAACAACTCAAATTGTTCATCACAACAACACAGTATTTACAACATTACAACTATATGCGTTGTCACGTATTTCAACTAAGAGATCTCTTACAATTTTAAGTGACTTGATCCTATCGAACCAATAATACATGGTGATCTTTTTGGTTTACTAGATCAAAAGCAAATTGGATATCAATCTACAACACAATAACTTGATTTCTCGAATATTCTCACTTAAACAAGGAAGTCTAATATTACTATCAGGGTATAATAGTTGGGTTTGGGTCTATCACGATATTAATTAGCTTAACTAAGTCACCTATGAAATTCATCTATCGACTACCCTTCAAATTCTATGCCTTTTCGATACTCGATTAGGAGCTAAGTTTCTGACTTCGTATTTTACTCAATTGGTCACTTGCAATCAGTATAACTCGACCTAACCCCTATATTGTGATCGCTTTATACATGTGTGTCTCAACCATTAATAAAATACTAATTTAAAATCTCATCTAATTATATCATAATATTTTCATATCAAATTAAAAACCAGATATTAGTATGTTATTTTTTATTATCATTAATTTATAAAAATAAAAAATTTAAAATGACAATTTTTAATAATATTTATTTTTTATCAAGTATTTTTTATATCACTTAGAGCATAAAAAAAATTTGCCCTGCATCCCGCCAAGGTTATCTACAGAAAATTCATAGATAATCTGAATTTTTTCATTACTCATCCACCATATGTTATTTACTAAAAAATTTCATAGATAACTAAAAATTATCTACAAAAAAAAAATTTGTAGGTAATATTCCATAGATAACTAAACATTATCTACAAAAAAAAATTTCGTAAGTAATATTCTGTAAATAACTAAAAATTATCTACAGAAAAAAATTTGTAGGTAATATTCCATAGATAACTAAACATTATCTACAGAAAAAAATTATGTAAGTAATATTTTGTAAATAACTAACAACTATCTACAGAAAAAATTTCGTAGGTAAATATTCTGTAAATAACTAAAAATTATCTACAGCAAAAATTTCGTAGGTAATATTTCGTAGATAATAACAGTTTTTCTTGTAGTGTCAACACTATTTAACAACACATTATAACAACACAGCAACTCATCAACTCACAACTTTCAACTCAGATAACATCTCTACACAACTTAACAACTCAGTTACAGCATGCATCTCAGATCTCACAACTCAATCATTTTCATAAACTTCAACAACACATCAACATACAACTCAACTACACATTCAACCACGTAAAAACTCAAACATCATATTAGCAACTCATATACAACACTAAACTAAACATACATTTCTACTACACATAACAAAACCATGCCCAGGGAAATTGTTATTTCGCTTGGCGCTAAGCCCAAACAGAAAGTATCAAGACTCTCTCACGCACGACGTGGGGAAAATCATGCCTGGCATAGGTCTAGATGAGACTCCCTAAGGGAATCTCTCCTGGCGTCGTGGTCTCATGCTCGACGTTAAGGCCTGGCAGAGACCACCCAAGGTAAATCACGCCAGGCGTGATTACCTAGCACTCGACACCATTCACCCAAAGACCCCCAGTCTCACTTCACGCCTAACGCAACCAACCTCATGCCTAGAGTGAATGTGAAATTTGAGCCTCTGATGAATGCTCGCCTGGCTTAGTGAAAATACGTTTGATACAAATTCAAAAATTGAACACCAAGCTCAAAAATTCAAGCTAGAACCTGTAATTCCAGGAGAATCCAACACATGCAAGCCAAAAACCCTACAATACTAACCACATACAACTCAAAAAAATGCAAGAAAAGTAACATGCAACCATTAATCATCATAATTCATCTCATTCTTCCCAACAACTCAAAAACCCAACCTTCAACTTCAACTCACTCAATTTTGATCAACATACAACCAGCAATTTAATGCAACAATACAACACTTCAATCAGATTTCAGCAATTCTAGTTTCCCTTACCTCGAAATTGGAAGAAAATTTGCACTTCGAGCTACCCAATGAAGAAGAAAAAGAAGAACGTCAACTGACTCCGTACGACTCCAACAACTGATTCAAACTTCTTCACTACCTAAATCACAAACAACACCACTCAGAATAGAAGCTAGGAAGAAGAAGAGAAGAAGATTGAGAGAAGAGAACTCACTGACCAGAGTCCCTCTCTCTAGAATCTCTCTCTAAAAACTCAAACCTCACATGAGTAGGACCAAAAAATGTAATGTGACTTGAACTAGTCATACATTGGCAAGTGCAAAAGATTGAAGAGCATGACTTTTAGAAAAATAAATACATGGAGACATTGAATACATGACACACTTGGTAAATAGTTAGTGAAAGTTTTTACACAATACAAGTTGAATCTACCATAGAACAATCAGCCATAAGCTCACATCCAACTTAATAATAAATAAACTTAGCACTATAACGAAATATTAAAATGCATATAGGGTAGACACCTTTGTTATAAGAAAGGATGATACAAGGTCCAAGTTTAAGGCCCTTATAAGGCACAAGGTCTATGCCTTTCATGCTCGAGACTAGTGAGTAAGTGTACCCTCCCAATGTTTTGTCGAGAAGGTCTATATGAGTGAGTGTACCGGCCTAGTCTCTAGGCCTTTTATGTTGGAGGTTAGTGGACAAGTGTACCCTCCCGATCTTTTTTCAAGAAGGTCTAATCGAGTGCCTAGTTGAGAACATCACCACTCATACCCCTACTTATAAAATATGTCGACATTTATCCAACTCAATATATATATATATATATATATATATATATATATATGACACAAAATCTAGTCATTAATGACCATGATTAAGAACCAAAATACGATCCAGTAACAGATAAAATTTCACAAAATCTTGAGATTCTCAGAATTCATAAAGGCATAACAATTCATTATAAAATTCTCATTCTAAGATAAAGAGAGGCATAATACAATTTTGATTATTTTAACTTTAAACAAACAACTAAATTACTTCTAATACATTTATCATGCCGGAACAAGTTGAAACATGTGTTATCGTTATCATGGGCTATACCGTGAATTATGTTAATTGGGCAAATATTTTTTCTTGTCTAAGCCCAAAGTAAATGCCAAATCGGGCTTATAGTCAATCCGTGCAAAACAAATAAGTGCTCGGCAAGGGTATGAATTTTATCCAGCCACTGGCTAGGATTATGTCCTTCGTTCTATAATCCTGAAATAAGGGAAAAAAGGGCACCTCTTACGTTTTCAGTTTTCAGTTTTCATAACTCAAGTCACTATAATGCTTGTTACACCTAAAATTATGGATGATCATCATACATTTGTTGATAGACAATAGCTCATGTTGGAATAAGGTTAATTTTGTCAACACAAAAGTTTTTGTTATGTTAAATTAAGATTAATAATAAAGTTAATTTATGAATGATAACATTTTTTTTTCTTCAAAAATAAAAGATAAAAAAGACAAAAGTAATACATAAAAGAATAAGTAATACATGCATTTATATATTATTGTGAACATATAGGTGAAGGTCATGGGATGATAAAAGAACATGACCAATCATATATTGTTAGATTTGGCAGCATTTTGTTCCCTAACAAACATAACAACACTTTTTGATCACCATTTTCATTTGATTCAGTGTACACACCCACTTGAAATGGTTGAGTCAAAGTAGGAGATCAGGAATCGTATCAATCATATGTATCATCCTGTTCAAAAAAGTACCATGCATAACATACGGAGTATTTCCCATTTTCAACTGAGAAGATTTCCCATAATCAAATGCCATGATATTGATAGAAACTTAAGTACCGAGAAAAAGTTCAAGACCAAGAAAAACACAACCCCTAAATCCATGGGCCAAATTTACCACTCAAGTACCCGCTGAGAACATGCCTCTTCAATTGAGACTTTGAGACAAGGAGAATCTAGGCCCATAACAAAAACAAGGCTCTTAATTCAAACGAGAACCACCATAGAAACCAACTTTATACACCTTACCCCACTAATCTTCAACAAAGGATAAAGTCACCTCCCACCACACACACTGACCTATATCTAAATATTTTATACGATAATACCCTCGGCTAGTGTACCTTTCGCAATATCCAACCTTTGATGAACAAAAACATTACAATCTTGTTTCTTTTTTGGGAGTGTACTTTGAAATAAAAAAGAGGCTTTTCGGTAGCTTTTTTTCCAACAGTGACCACAATTTGTTGTTCAACCGAAACTGATTTCCTACTTTCTGATTTCAAATTTTGCCATGACGTTAATCATCCACAGCAAGAACAAATATTCACTCTTTATTCTTTTTGTTTCTTCTCCTTTTGCCACATATCTGGGTGTTACCTGAATTTTCAAGGGCACTTTAGTCCTAACAAAAGCTACGTAACTTGATTATGACATTTCCTCCCATGTAACCGTTACATACAGCATGACACTCTTACACCAAATTTATTACATGCACACACGTAACCCAAAACTTTGTAACAAAAAAAAAAACAAATTTTGAATTAATTATTTTGAAAGTTAAAAGCAATTCGACCGTTAGCCCTTCCTACTTACATTACTTCAACAAAACACGCTCCTCTTCACCCACAACTGCTACAATAAGCAACACAAGAAGCTTCAAACCCAACGGTAATGGCGGAAGCAGAAGATTATGGTTTCGCCCCAGAGGAAATGACGGTGAACGAGAATCTTGGCTACCCTAAAGCCTTCGCAAAACTCTGTCGTGACCGAAGTTTCAGTCCCTACAGCCATGGCCCTCCCTTTACTTTCATCCCTTATGCTTTGCAAGAAGACGAGGTAAAAAAAAGGATTTTTTTTCTTTAATTCTTTGTTTGGCATTGTAGAAATAAATAAATAAAAAATGCAATTAAAACTAGCTCTGACTGAATCAGTGAGTATTTTTTTTTATTGGGTATTTCTAATTCAATATTGTGTTTTTGTTTCTGTTTTAGGCTGAGAGGGCTAGGGATTAAAACAATTAAAACAAGTGAATGCAATTAAAACAAGTTCAAAGTGAATGGCTTTATTTATTGGGTTGTTTACTAGTTTCTAATTCAATTATGTGTTGGTGTTTCTGTTTTAGGCTGAGAGAGCTAGGGATTTGGATGAGATGTTTCCGATAATTGATCCCAAAGCTAAGGCCACGAGCAAGCCGAAAATCTTTGTCAGTGTTCTGTGGAAGCAGCTTCGTCATCTTGGGTAGGGTTTTTTTTTGTTTTCAATTTGGAAGATTCGGGAGGTTTTGCATCTGATTTCTGATGTATTATTTGTTTTGTGTTGTTGATTTGGATAATCTCAGAAATGCTGGCTTTGACCCTGCGGTGATTCGAGTTGATGGTTATGGCAACGTGGTCTATTATCATGCAGACTCGGCCTCTCCTCTGGCTTGGGACATTGATCACTGGTTTCCTTGTTCAAGTAATCTTGATCTTTCTCTTTCAAGAATGTGTGAATTGTGGAACCAGAATTCAGTTTGTATGATTTGAAAATTCTCCTTTGGGGTGACAATGTAGGGGGAGGTTTGACTGTTCTTAGCAATCTAAGGATATTACAGCGGCAAGCCTGTAAAAGGAAGAAAAACAAGCTGGAATTCTTGGTGCCATGGTGGGATTTCCAATTGGGCATCTCTGTGAACCAGTTCCTGTCTGTTTTTGCTTCTTCAAACTCAGACTTCAGGCGGGTTTTTTTGTTTGTTTGTTTGTTTTTGTTCTTGTTCCTCAATTTCCTCAATTTTGTTGTTTATATTTGTGTTTGCAAATGACAGGCACAGAGCTTTTTCATTTTTGTTCTATGAAGGAGAGAATCAAGAATTGAATGCTTCACAAATAGTGGATTCTCATTCTTTTCCACAACACTTTTTTGGGTTGAAAGAAGAAGTAGGCCTTGCTCCGGCTGCAATTGTAGAATCTCGAAGGGAACCATGTGATGCATTAGCTTTGAGACAACTTGATTACAATAGGAAGCCAAGGCCCATGTCTCCTGCAATAGGTTGGTGACTGACATTGCATGATTTATCCTACCAAGTTTGAATTGATTAATTGATTTAATATCTGACCAGTGACCAGTCTCTGATTGAAACTCTTTTCAGTAGCTGCAAGAAAAAGAGATGGCAATCTCCTGAAAGAAAACGAAGACCCGGATTTTGTGAAAAACCCTTACCAAGCAATTGTCATGGCCAGAGATTCCCTAAAGCAAAGAGAGGAAACTACAAAAATGCATGCAGAAATTCAGAAGCTGGATACTGAAGTGAATGAAATGAAGCTCAAAAATGAGGAAGAAAAGGTCACCATTCAAGACCTTGAATTGGCTCTCATAAAACGTAAGACGAAGGCAGAAAAGTGCAGACGCTTAGCTGAGGCTCAATCTTCTTATAGGACTATGCTAGAGAAGATGATTAGAGACACTATGCACCAGTAAGTTCCAGTAACCAAAATTGAAATGGTGTTTCTAATATTTCTCTTTATATTTTCTTGGTAAAGAGCATTAATTATGCTCTATTAAACACTCCCAAGTACTTGGCTAGGATAAGTACCTTGTATTTTACATGTAATAAATGTTTTCTTTGGACTTCAACAACTTGTTTTTAAATAAATTGGTTTGATGCAGGAGTGTCATTTATAAGGAACAGGTAAGATTGAACCAGGCTGCAACTAATGCACTAATGGCTAGACTTGAAGCACAGAGGGCAATTTGTGATGGTGCGGAGAAAGATCTTCACAAGAAATACAAACAAAGAGATGACATAGAAAAACAGATTAGACCTGAATGGGAGCAAGGAAGGAAGAGGTCAAGAATAGATGATGCCACTTTTGAAGAGCGAGAAATTAAACCTGCTCTTTATTTGCCTGGGCCCAGACCAAGAACGCCTTTGCATAAGGAGCTCAGACTGTTTCTAGAGGAGGAACAAAGGACATCTGAAGCCGGTTTTTCTTCAAATGAAGAGCAAAAGCAGGAAGAAAAAGAAGAGAAACTAAAAATGCCAGCTAATAATAACATAGAAGGGAAGCTAGAGGAGCATACCAGATCAAGTGTTGCATTGGATGAAAGCACAATTGAGCACAGACTTCAGAAGCTCAAAATCAGCGAAGGCAAGAGGGATTGTGGCATTTCATTCCCAGGTCTTCATGAGACAGAAACTGAGGAAGATGAAGAAACCAGACAGCAACGTGGAAAAGGGAATGTGGAGAAGTGGCTTCAAATGCTTTTAGAGAATGGTCCACAACAAGAAGGAACTGGTCCACAAGAAACAAATGAAAATGCTTCTTGTGAAACTGAAGAAATAATCCGACAATTGGATCAAAAGTTCCCACAAAAGGAGTTGAAGATCTCAAAAGTTTCAGATTCTGACCACAAAGGATGGACGGAGAAAGAAGATAGAATAGAAAATGAAGCTAGAAGTGTTATGCCGACAGGATATAAAAATTACTCTGAAGAAGCTTGCATTGGTGAAGGAAACTGCACTCCTAGTTTTGAAGGGATGGAAAGAAAGGAAGAGAATAAAAAGGGAAAAAAGCTTGCTAGATCAGAGAGTGCCAGGACCTTGAAGCGAATTCCATCATCTCCATCTTTGCTTCTTGGGATCAGAAAAGGTGTGGACTGCATTCGGAAGAAGCCAACGGCAATTGGGAATGGCAGTAATGAGGATTTTGCAGCATCAAACAGCTTCTTGAGGTCATCCATCAAGACAATCAAGAAAGCTGTGAAATTATGAATAGAGATACATTTGATGCTAAAGCATTTGTACCTTGGTCCTCAGCATTTGTACCTTAAGTTTTTTTTTACTATTTTTCAATTTGAGTGATGTTAGCAGAATAAAGTGAGTGAAAATTAAATCCAAAAAATAAAAGAAAAAGAAAAAACAAGTGTGTGAAATGTAGACATTTTGTTTGATTTGTGTATAAGTTTCTAAAGTTGTCAAATATTTGATAAGTGATAACACCTTGTTTTTGCCGCAAGCATTTAGGTTTCTTTTTCTTCTGCTTTGCTGATCAGTACAAAGTTAGTTGTAGAAACATGAATTCCCGCTTCTGCTATAGTGACTTCCTTGTTCGCCATTCATATTGTTTATCAAACCTGACCCAAAGCAGAAAAAGCAATATTGATGCAGCTTGGCATGAAGGTAGAATACACACACACACAGAGGTCTAATTACAAATAAAAATAACCTTGTGCATTAAAAATGAGGAAACATTCAAAACACAATGCAGCTTAATTTATCCATTTCTGGTCTTGGTCTTGTGTTCTTATCTTTTTCTTGGCATACCGTAATTTATGCAGTCACAGTTGTTTGGAAACCCATCTAATTACGTCAAAATCGATTTATTACCAGTGTTTTGAAACTCATCAAAACGTGAAAAACTCATCACAACAGTAACTTCCACGTTTTTTGGCCTGTGAACGGGAGAGAAGCCAGATGTACGTTTCAAACGTGGTTCTAAACAAACATACACTACACGGAAGCAAGAAGCAATTGCTTCCGGTTGACGCGCATAAAACTTGGTAAACGCTGAAACAAACACGCAGCTACAACTTTGGTACGCTCACATCTTTATTGAATTCATTCCAAATAAGACAGAGTTATATCTTACATTACTCCTCCAGTCTAACTCCAAAAAAGGAGCTTGTATAATGTAACAAATTAACACAAAATTATAGTTTTCATTCATAGCCTATGTTTCAGGACATAGATTTCCTCCACTTGTGGGGAGTCCTACTTTTGACCAGACTGGCTTTCATGTCCATAGGCGTTTGCCCTCCAAATCTGACTTCCCTTTCAGTCTCCTCTTCTTCTTCCTCATCAATGTTCTCCACCTCTCCCACTGCCACACTTCTACTAAACATAGGCATTCCAAACTTCTTCCATTTGAATAAGCCCTTCTTCTTTGCCGCCAACCTCTCCATCTGCACTTGCATGGCATTGACCTGTCTTTGCAGCCTGTAAACATCTTCCTTCAGCTTCCTTATCTCCATTTGCTGAGCACTCATTTCACGCTTTGAAAGGCATCGTGCCGGTGGGTCGAGGCCCCCATTCGGACTCCTCAAGCCACTGAAGGAGCTACTCCAATCTATATGCTGGTTGAGTTTGGTTTGTTCAGAGAAGAGCACCTGAATCACAGCTCTGACAGGCAACCGCTCGTTTTGAGCTGCATGAAGTGAGGCCTCTGGTGTGAGTTTCCGGCAATCAAGCAGCCTACACAGGCCCTTTCTTTCTTGCTTTGACACACCTGGATGTGCCTATAACACATTAGCAGAGTCAGGGTTTCAAGATCATAGATTAAAACTTTCTTACTCAGACAACAAATAGTGCAACAATCATGTTTCTAAACTCGGTAAGTCTTCAAATGGTATCTAATCTAGGACTATTGTTTGGTACATCCTGGTTAGCATAAACTTTGGTTATGTTCTTGTTTAGAGCAATATCATGCGTGTCACCATCCAGTACTGTCTCAAGTGGCAAAAAGAGTTTATGCATTTTTCAATAGTAAAATAAAGTTTTAATCATAAACTAGACAGGATTGTACCATCCAAATAACATGTGGGAAGACTACCTACTATGATATACCCTACTTTTACTTGATAGTTTACTTTAGAAGGAGGATAGTATATTTTTTTTAGAGTGGCAACAAGTAATAAATACACATAGCTATAAGAAGGAAATGCCAAGCTTTAACATCTAAACTAGAAAGAGTTTCCTATACTCAAAAGATCATTAATTACGTTCCATTTCAGTTAAACATTTGCAAAACCTTTTACATGCATCAGTATGTGGGACAAGAGAAAAGCCAAATGAATAAACAATGTTAATCACAGCTATGATCCAGTGGCCCCGCATGAAAGACATTTATGTCATTTCAGTTTCACTTAACCGATTCCTACTCCAAAGAATCTCATGCTGGTGGTGACAACACGAGAAGCATTTTCCAGGATATCCCGAATGAAACTCTTGATTCATCCCCTCCTCCTTGTCTTTGATACATAAATTAAGAAACATGAATAACAAAGAAATAAATACCTCTAATAAATCAAGTAATTTGAAACTAAAATGAGAAGACGTACTTTTAGATAAGTGTCAATGGCTCGGTACAAGCCATCATCCGTGGCTCTTGCATGGCTTGGAAGAGCTCTAGCAAGTGCAAGGAACTCAGACAGGGTCAAATTGGCATCCACAGCAGCCTCAGCTAGGTAGCAATCAACCAACTTGGCCACCTTAACCAAAGCAGCACCATCACGGTCTAAACTCACAAACCTCTTAACCAACCTCAAGACAAGCTCATCATCCAAGAGAGTCCCACACGTGTGGCTGAAGGAGGGTATCATGAGCTCTTTGAGAGAAGCTTGGTCAAGCTGCCACGAAATGCGATTCTCAAGCTCAGCTTTATAAGTGGCATCAACCCGAACCATGTTGGCGGTTCTCAGAAGGCGAAGGAGGAAGTTGCATGGGACAGAATCCTTCTCAGGAGGCAGAACACTCACCAAGGTTTCCACAAAGAACCTCTTCTTCATCCATGATGTCGTGACGCTTTCCGGGGAGTGGAAGTGAGTGGTGACACCATTTTCAGCAGAGGCAGAGAGGTCAGGGAGCCATATGGAGGCGTAATGAGTGATGATGGAACCAATCAAGTCTGCACGAACGCCTTTCTGTTTGATGCTTGAAAGGGTCTTCACAAAGTAATCCATGTCAAGGATGCATGCATCGTCGAACCAGCATTGCCATGATCCAACATTTGCCTCTGAATCTTCACAACACTGCTTCTTCATTTCCACTAACAACACACGGCACTTCAGCTTTGCAATTCTGTGCTATCTACCGTCTTGGTTATAACAGCTAGGAGAGAAGAGAGGATGAAGCCAGCATACAGAACAAAAGTAATTATAACAGCATCAAACTTGAAAGGGACTAGTTTGTTTTCTATGTATTGCGTGAGGATTTGGACTTGTTCCATTTACATGAGCAGAGAAAGGATATACAAACAAAAATTGGAGCATGCTGTTTACTTCATAACGCCACACTTGCATCATAGTATGTGTAAGTGATGATGGGCCTAGGATCGTGCATGGCTTTTGGCACTTGGCACACAATGATGGAAAGTGAAAGAAACGGAAACCTGAGAGTGGCCTATGTAAATGCCAAAGTTTGTGTTTTGCTTCCCAAGCTCGTGAACCCCCAGTATTTGTTGCTTTCGAACTAGACATATTGTACCTCTGAATACCATGGACCATAATTCATTTTTATTATTTGAATTAATTTACAATACCAAATATAATATTATTTAATTAGGGTGGATGGTCCCAAAATGATTTGCTCGGAAACGTGTTCTTTTTTCCACGGCAAGATTCTATTCCTGCATATCTGTAGTTCTGTAGCAGTCGGGACAATTGTTATTATCTCAATTGTGTTCAAAATGGACACTATCTTTTGGGCTCGGGGCCTCAATAGATGAAGCACGAATTCGAACTTGAAGCCCATGGCAAGATTTAGTCCTCAACTTGACTATGAAACGCGATTGGATTTGGTCCATACAAAAAATTAAACGACAATGCAATACTTATAAGTTATACCATCTATTAAAAAGTGTATTACATAGTAAACCTTATATGTAGAGTACTTTTCTATTTATTTAGTCATTTATAATTCTATTTTGGGATCGCAAGAGGGTGACATTGCTCCTTGTAACCATTGAACATATCTATTTGAAACAAAAACTTCGAATGTGTTCATTCTTCTATTTTTTTTTTATTTTTTTTAATGTGCTACAAAATAGGAAATTTCACAACGAGAGAACAAAAACATTTATCTATCGAGACAAAAGTAAACAATAGTGAGACTAGAAAAAAAAAGAGGGAATCAAACTATGACGAGATTATGACCTACAACAAATAGTTTGAGCTAACACATCACTCTTTCTGCCGTTCAATTCTGCAGAAATAAGCATGCTTAGATATTGCGAGGAGTTGAGGCTTCAGAGGGACTACTTGAGGAGTCACCACCAGTTGTTGGATTTAACAGTGGAACACTTGAAAGAGAACCATTTCCATCTTCGCTCTTGGCCACCACTGGTATCTTGACAGCAGCTGCTCTCTCCATCTCTTTCTCAAGCTCTTCTTCTTGGCGCAAGGCAGTAAACTGCGTATCCAGCGACTTGGCAGCTGATAACCAGGCAAGAACAATCACCAGAAGGACCCCTCCCAGGTATGGAGTTGAATTAGCCAGTGAACCAAAAGTTAAGATCATGAACTGCTGAATCAAAGCACCTCCAGACTTCCCCAATGGGTTGCACACAACATCAATGGCTGCCTTCCCCTTGACCTACAGCAAAGGAATTCAACACAAATCAAGCACAAGGGGATACAACTGCAACATTATATTTACATATATTGAGAGAGTGAGGGTTTATCAGGTGAGAGCATATTCTCATGAGAAAAATTAACCTTTGATCATAAAACCATTAATAGATGGCCATGATCAAATTTAACTTCAAACAATTTTGATCATCTATATATGATTGTATGATCAAGTTTTTTGGTATAGACCACAGGTATACTCCACCAGAAACAATCCTGTTTGCGTTGATTGCATGATCAAGTTTGTGTAAACATGATTGTAACCAATAAAAATCCAAACCTTGGTATCCTCATCCAAGGGTATGTAGGCCATCTCTTTGCATGGATCGAATAAACTGTACTTAGCACTCTTGCTGAATATGTTTTGCATGGCACCCACATATACAGCTGCTAGCAGTGGTGTCATTCCAAACTTCGCAATAACAGGAGCAATTGGGCCGCCAAATAATATGAGAGAAAAGAAACCAACTCCTGTCAAAAGCAGGACAGTGGGGGTGATCTTGGCAGCAACTCCCCATCCATATTTGTCAAATATAACTTGGCTTAGAAGCATCATTGTGAATGTAGCAATGCCAGTTGCAGTTGAGAAGTCGCCCATAAAAGATGAGTACTCGTTTGGGCTAGGAAACTGCACAAATTGCAGAGTCAACAAGAAAGAGAGAGCAAGGTGAAATGTCTGGTAGTAAAACCGTAGGCAAGAATGTTTTATGTTACCTGAGCTTTGAGCTTTGATTTCCATGTAACCTCAACAAGATTAATGCTGATTCCATATGCAACCACCAAAGTGGCAAGATCCCTTATATATTTTGAAGACACCAAGAACTTTATGCTCTCCATTGTTCCCATTTTGGGCTTCTCCTGGAAAAATGCATAACAGGGTAAAATGTTAATTAAGTTATTTCAAATATTTGTAAATCAAACGGAATCATAGTTTCTGTGACATTTAAAATAATGGGGACAACACTGAATAGGTAGGAGAATTTCATACACAAAGAAATGAGTCAATCATGGTACAGAAATGACTCCTTATGTAAATATCATGTTGAAAGCTAGTTTATGAAATAAAAAAATTCCCTGTACCATTTAACACCAAAGACACGTTAGAAAAAACTGAGGAATGCTACATTACTTTGCTTTCAGTTGTCTCAAGTCTAAGAACTAAATTAGTATACTCAAGAATAAAATAAAAAATGTAAACAGTGGAAACAACAGAATAGGCATGCATCAACCTGCCTAGGGTAGAAAACTATATGCATAACAGTATATCAGTCTCACAAAAAACTACCTTCTTCTTCTTGCTTCGTGTAGGCAGAGGAACATAACTATTGACCCACCAATACAGGAAACAGATTGCAAATCCCATGCCCACAACTATGCTCATCATTCCTTTTAGAGAGATGGCCCAGCCATCAACTCCAGGACCTAAATTCTGCCTCAGATTAGAAAAGTATTTCACTGTCCGACCAGAGAACACGAGGGCTACATTGGCCCCAAGTCCAAATAGAGGATAGAATCGTTTTGCTTCCTCAACGCTAGTTATCTGAAGAAAAGAAAAAAAATGAAAAACAAAATTAGCATTCTCCCTCACAAAGCAGAAGAAAACCACATAGCATCATATTCATCTTTATACTTTATATTCATTATAATTTGCATGAGACAGTTCAAAATTGGAAAACATAACATTAGAGGATACACACCCTGCCGTGCCATCACATTATTACATCTTATATTCTTATCCAGCTAATATTATATGCATGTTATTGCAAGTGAAACAAGCATATAACAATCACGAATTAAATAAGCATCATATAAGTGACTCATCAAAAGCTGAGAAGCTAAGCTACAGAGAAAGAGGCAGAATATAAATGAATACAACTAAAAGTAAAACAATCCAACAAACAACAGCCAACCGTGATGATGATATCAAGATGCCATGTTCAGTACACCATAATTATAAATTATAAGATGATGATAACGACACCAACACATACTAGGCCTTGTTTGATTAAATTCCTCCCCCGCAAACACTGATAACAGAACAAAACAAGGTAAAATGAATTGAAATTCTCAACCAAGTTAAAATCAACTTAAGCACTTAACTTCTATCTAAAAGTTCCTTTCATTTAGCATAAGGATAATTTCAATCCATGTTACCTTCTTGTTTACTTCTCCTACAAGTGTTTAGAAAGAAATTTATCCAAACAATATCAATAACAAAAATCAAGCCTGAGACCAATTACAAACTAACAATGCATGCTGAAAATTCAAACAATGAAACAACCTGATTGGCGAACCCCCAAAAGAGAACGGAAATGACAACACTCCCCCACAATTCAGCCATGACATAGAACAAACAGAAGCTCCATATTCTCATAATTGCAAGAGGACCAAGGAACCTCGGGCCAAGAACGTTGAGAAGTTTATCCGCAAACGCCTCGGGGTGGATATAGTTGCTGAGAGGATACAAAACAAATCCAAAGGCTCCAAAGAAGGCAATGAAGGGAAGAATAACAGAGTAAAAAAGAGCTTGCTTGGACAACACATTAGCCAACTTTGTGTACAACAACATGAACCCAATGGCCATGGGAAGGTTCACCCAAGTTTTCAGAAACGGTATAATCTCCGCACTGCTTCCTCTGGCTGTCACAACCAACACATCCTTGGTGTCCCTCAGAATGGTGTAGTTGAAGAGAATGCAAAAAAACATCAACCCCAGAGGCAGAATCTTCTTCAAGGTTGCAACTTCAACGCCCAAAAACTTTGGTTGTTCACTTTCCGGTTCCCCAAATGCTGCAGCAGCAGCGGCCTCAGCCTTGCACAGGAACAAAGTTTTCTCCTTTTGGGGAAAGACATTGAGTTTTGAGAATTTTGGGAAGCCATTGGAAGAAAGAGAAGGGACGGGGAGGGTTTTTGGGTTTGGAGAGAAAAATCTGTGCTTTAAGGTGAGAGAGGGGTGTGAGAGTGTGACCCTGTTTCTGGGGTTTGTGGGGAGAGAGAGAAGGCCTCTGGTTTGAAGAAGAACATCCATGTCTCTCTGTATTGAAGAAAGAAACAGAGAGAGGGATAAAGAGAGATAAGGTGGGTGGTGTGGAGAGTGGTAATGGAGGAGACGAGATTATATATATCTATGTTGGAGAAATGGAAGGGGCAGATACAAAAATATCTCTTTTTAAATATGCCAAGGAATCTCTCGAGTGTCTCAGAAAGACAACAAATGTAGCATGGAACCAAGATTTTTACGTGAAATGGTTAAACTCAGAGAGAGGATTGTGTGCAGTGAGAGGGAAGTGAAGTGAAAACGAGAGGTAATAAGAAAGTGCACGGGAAACGGTCAAGCCAAGGGGATAAAAGAGCATTCATAGGATCTTTCTTAGCCATATCAATCCTTTCTCTCTTTTTTTCTCGTATCCAAATTCAATCAACAAGTGAATCAAAACAGCCACTTGTTACCAAATATGTCTTCAGTTTTTTTTTTCCTTGTTTTCTCATTCCAATATCTGTTTTATTTTCATGCCAAGTAAATATGAAATTATAGTTTCTTAACATTTTATTTTTTCAAACACTTAAAAAGCATTTAGTACATGAAAATACCTTATTTTGAAAAAAATTTAATTTCGAAAATGTTAATTTTCTGTATTTTTTTTTTCTAAATAACATGTTTAGCAAATATTCTTTTTTAATAATTATTTTTTTATATAAATTTTTAATAAATTTACTTTTATGGAGAATAATGAGAAATTAACTTTTTTTTAATGTAAAAATAAAATTTTGATACGATAAAAATTGTATCTTATCTTTATTTATGATTCTCTTTAATCACAAATTTTGAGCGTAAAAATATTTTTTTAGTTTCTATAATTATTTTTTAGTTTTTATAGTTTAAAATATATTTTTTTAGTTTTATTTTTTTCAATCATTTTTATCCCTTAATTTAATATAGATATTTCTTAAATCTTTGAATTTTTAACTTTATTATCTTTTTAGTCTTTGTTATTAATTTTGTTGTAATATTGTCTTTTTCGTGTTAACATATCAGAAATATTAATTTAACTGTATGACACACACTAAAAAAGTATTTTAACCCATGAAAAACACACTAACTCGTGAAAAATTTATCTTCTTATTATATCATATTACTAATCATATTTTTCAACAAGTGGCTGGTTTCAAGTAATATTGAAATTGATTACTTTATTTCAAATTTGAGTCTTGTTTATGAAAAAAAAAATTATGATTACTCAAGTTATTTAGAGATTAAGCATTCAATGCTAGTAGATCCATCTTACCAATGACATAATCATTAAAAAAAAATATTACCTATTGTATTTATATTTTTTATTTTATTTTGATATCACCGTGTGTCATATAAACTATTGTGAGTGTGCAAAAATAATTTTATTAAATTTGTTTTAAGCATATGTAAATATGAACTTGTCTTTTTTTTTTGTTATTTTTAGGTATTTGACACATTTTTAGTTTTGTTTGTTATTAATTGTAATTAGTTCGATGCATTAATAAAATTACAAAAAAAACATCAATTAATATAATTAAGATAACAAATAAATGAATACTTTAAATTAAAATAGTCACGCATTCATAATTTATTTTTAATATATTGTTTTTGTTTTTAGATACTAAATCACTATATGTGATATAGTATAAAATATATATTACAACTAATTAAAATTAATAAATTAAATATAAAAAATCTTAAATATATTTTTAATCTTTATAAAATAAACAAATTTTACTTCTGATCTTTATAAAAAAAATTACTTTTTATTTTTATAAGATTTAAAAATATTATTTTTAGTCATTATTATTGCATTCATTTATAAAAAAAAGTTAAATAATTATCTTAAATATTAACTATAACTGACAGTGAAATGACCTTAACATAATATTATGTTAGAAACAGAAATTATCGAGGCTTTATCATTTATATCTTCTTAGAAAATAAAATAAAATAACTCGAAAGTAACATTTGCATATTTACTATTCACGAACTTTGGACGTAGAACTTGAACTGGTTCATGAATGAATGCCCAAATAAGGTTTTTTTTTATTTATGAAAAGTAAATCATTAAATGTCTTTTTAATTATTTGTATGCTAAAATAAATTATATTTTTAATATCAAAAACATGTTCTATTAAAAGAAATTTCTTAACTACTATCTAGAAAATGAATATAGACCAAAACAGAAAATTAATATAAAATACTATTATCTAAATATGTTTATTCGTTTTTATCTTGAACAACCTTTACTCATTGATTTGATTCAAGTGATAATGAATTCAATTTTTTAAAATAAAATTTTGAATTTGAATTTTATGTATGAAAAAAAATATATACAATTAAAAAAGGAGATTCAATTAAAGGTGACTAACTAATTTATTGGTAAAAATTAATTATTAACAAAGTCAATAAATATTTACTACTAATAACATAATAAAAAAAATCTTAAACAAATTTTCTCCACTTATTTTCTTAGGTACTATTTTCTCAACTACTACCTACGAGTATTCACTCCTATACAATAAACATGATGATTTTTTTTTATATTCTTATTTATTTCAATTTGCATTTATCATATATATTTCTAAATTCAATTAAATAATTATAAATTTAATTAAAAATAATTTTGTTCACAATATAAAGGATTTTTTACAAATATAAAAATATAATTTATATGTTTGAGATATTTATTTATACACATTTTAAATTAAAATACTTTATATATTAAGATATATCATATAAATTTTATTTATATATAATAAATATTTATCTGTGAATGGTTTATAATTTCTATCGGATAGAATTTATACAAAAAAAATAAAATAAACTTGGAGAAAATATATTTGGTAAATATTATCATTAGGTAAGATTGTATTTGTTATTTGCTTCTTCTTTTTTATGATTCAACTTATTGAATGTCTCAAAACATAAAATATATTTAATATCTATCACAGAAAATGAATAGAAAGATTGCAAGAAGATTTATAATTATTGGTATCAAACAATGTTATGTTGCTTTTTCTACCATTTCTTCCCTTCTAACAAGCAAAGCAACTAAAATAAAATCAATGTTTGACTAATCGTGCTTGGAAGCATGACCACGGATCAGTAATAAAACAAAATTATATTCAAATCCATACGTGCAAAAGAAATGAAGTGTCTATACTAATATTTAATTGCTAATATTCGTTTATATATACTTGTATTTTATCATAGATTCATTTATTATTTTCCTAATAGATTATTATTAACCGTCGCTTTTTAAATACGCTCCACACTTTAGGAGCTATAGCTTAAAATTGGAGTTAATTAAATTATAAGTATAAAATAATACTGACACGTAAAAAATAATAAAATATAATTTTCCAACCAAATATTAAATAAAGTTATAAGTCTTTAATAATATACAAACAGTCTATTACTATTATCCCAAAAACTTTGGGATATTCAGCCATCAAAAAATAAACCTTGGATCTTCATTTAAATATTTTGATCTAACTTTATTTATTCATCTACATAAGTGAATTTAATTGAATAATTAATTCATTTCTCATTTATACTACCATTTTGGTGCAACTCCTTTTGAGGTAGGTATGCGCACAACAAAGGCTGATATATATACACCTTCTATCTTTTATAAGTACACTTCCGATCTTTTTTTTTTTTTTTTTACTTAAAAAAAATTATAATATTTTATAATTTTTTTTAAAAAGAAGGTGTACTTATAAAAAAAAATGAGGTGTATATATCATGAGCCTCTTCGTAATTGAATTGTAGAGCCCTTTTGTTTGGGCCTGTTACATTGAACCTAAGGCTGATGATATATACACCTCCTATCTTTTATAAGTACACATTCAATCTCTTTTTTTTTTTAAATAAAATTTCTAAAATATCCTTTTAACTAAATTTTTATTTTAAGTTCTATTTTTAAATTTGTTTTTTATTTATCTCTTTTTTCATCATTTTTCTTTTTCTTTTTTCTTCTTTTTTTTATTCTCTTTTTTTATCACTCTAGTCATTTTTTGATGATTTTATTATTTTTTTCGTTTTTCATTCTTGATTTTTCTTCTTTTACAATCAACATAATCATATTTTATCTTTTTATCTTTTAAATCTATTTTTCACTTTCTACTCTATTATTTCTTAAATCCTAATTTTTCATTCAATCTTCACTATTCTCCATATTCAATATAAGGTACAAATTAATATATTAAATTACATTTTATATTTATAATTTTTTTTAAATTATTTAAAATTAATTATGGATAAAAGGATAGTAGAAGAAGATAGTGGATGAGGAGATAAAGAAACACGTAAGTTAAATTTGCCATACCAGAAAATAAGATTCAAAATTTAATTTTAGCATTCCGGAAAGTACTTTCTAGAATAGTAAAATTATTATTCCAAAAAGCATTTTCTGAAAGTGTGTTTCTTATATAATTCCGGAAAGAATTTTTCGGAACAGTAACTTTAGTATTCTGGAAAGTACTTTCCAGAATTATGTAACAAAACTTTTCCAGAAAATACTTTTTGGAATAAGAATTTACTATTATGGAAAGTATTTTCTGGAATAAAAACTTTATTATTCCAGAAAGTAATTTTTAGAACAAAAACTTTACTATTTCGGAAAGAGGGGTGCGGGAAAAAGAAAGAAGAAGGGTGTGCAGGAAAAAGAAAGAAAAAGAGGGGTGTAGGGAGGAGAATGAACAAGGGTGCGGGGTACGGGAAAAAGAAAGAAGAAGAGGGGTGCAGGGAAGAGAAAGAAGAGGGGTGCGGATGCGGGAAAAAGAAAAAAGAAGAAGGGTGCGGGGAAGAGAAAGAGGAGGGGTGCAGGGTGCGGGAAAAACAAAGAAGATGAAGGATGCGGGGAAGAGAAAGAAGAGGGGTGCGGGGTGCGGGAAAAACAAAAAAGAAGAGGGGTATGGGGAAAAAAAGAAGAAGGGTGCAAGGTACAAATTTAAAATTTTTATATATATTTAAAAAAAAAAAGATAATTTAAAAATTTTATATATTTTATAAATAAAAAAAAGGGTGTGTTTATATGAAAACGGATGTGTATTTATCATCACCCCACAACAAATTCAATCCTCCCAGCCCAATACTTTCCTTAGAGTAGATTGGGCCATTGTTTGTTGGGCTTTAGCCCCATTTTTAAGAGTTTGGGCGTGAATGGGTAAATATTAACTTCTTTGTGATTTTTTTATTTATTTATCGTTTTTTGTGTTATATACTATAAGTTTGTATTAAATTTAATATCATTCCGATAAGAAGAA